TGGCTTAATTTATTTTTTTATCATAATACAGAGTTCCTTTAAAAATCATGATGGGTAGTTCATGTTCAATGAGTGTTCAGATACAGTTGATAGGTCAGTGTATACGTCACCCCCCCTTCTCTCTATACATTATGTATATTGTGTATATCTTGATAGCAAACACAAATACATTTTGTACTAATAAATATTTTGGCTTAATTTATTTTTTTATCATAATACAGAGTTCCTTTAAAAATCATGCTGGGTAGTTCATGTTCAATGAGTGGCTTTATTTAAAAAAAAACTTGATATTTAATCTACTATTTTCACAACTGTATCTCTGTATGGATTTGATCATTTGACTGACCTTGTAACCACCATAAAAAAATTAGGAAATAAATATAAATTGTGCTTTTTTGTTCTAGAATTTCTACAAATTATAACAGAAAAAACACAAATGTTTAGTCAAAATAGCTTAAATTTCATAACATTATACATCTATATACATATTTATTATTTTTATTATACTGACCTTTCAGCCATGCCTGGGTAACATTACAGAAGTTGCAATGATGCAATGTGTGTGCACTTGTGACCATATCCAAGAATATATAACTGGCATTTACAAAGTGACCTGTCTTGACTGTGTTTTAGTAGACTAGTATTTTGTAAAATAGTCACATTTCAGTTATAATACATTATATATGTATATACATTATTACTATTTACAAATAAGTTCTTTAAACTTATTTTTCTTAAAACATAGAACAATAAATAAAGAAGTATAGCAAACAATTATCTCTTCTAGCTACGAAATTTGTATTTGTTAGCTGCTTGGTATAGGTTGCTAAGCCTTATCAAATTTTGCATGTGGAGGATGTGAAACAAAATAATTTTTTTTAGGTTTTATATATACATTTTGAAGGAACCAAAAATCATAAATTACTATATCAATACCATAGAATTTCACTAATTTATTGAGCTTAGTAACTAAGCTGTATTTGGGTCTAAAAGAATATGAAATTTTGAGCTCACTTATATCTTACCTTACCACTTGGAATCTATCATGAAAAGGCTGAGAAAACCACTAGGGGGACATTCTGAGCTTTTGATTGGCTATACACATCATTGGGTGAAGTAGGTGTACGTAAGCATGTATTTTCAAAAATTGAAGAGGTGGGCAGGACCACCTTGGTTAATTCAATAAATATATTAATGTCTCAGAAAATAGAAAAGGTAGGAGGTTCTTATTTTACATTCTAGCTTGTCAATATTGGTAATTTGAGTGTCTAATTCATAAGAAACTATAGACTTTGACAAATATCAAATATGAATCAATGCTGCATTCAACATACCATGTGACACACAAAAATCGATATTTAGGTGTGTTTTTTTATATTTAATTTAAATTGAGAAATTAACTACTGTATAATACTAAAATTTGAATTATAATCTACAATTTATTACCAAACTTATTGACATACATTCATAAAATGATGGCCTTTGACCCATATTGGTAGAGGTTAATAAATCAAATTTTGATATTATATAAGACTTAATTTCTTAATTCAAAAGGAAATGTTAAAAAAAAAATAGCTTAACTCTTTCCATATGTCGTCATGTTTGTAGACTTACATTTAAATTTTTTATTAAACCACTATTCTATGATGCCCACAATACAATGTCTATAATTTCTTACAAATTAGAAACTCAGATTACTGATAATGACAAGATATAAAATAAGAACATCTTACATTTTTTATTTGCCAAGATATTATATTGAGTGAATACACCACAGTGTCTCCTCCCACCTCTTCCTCTTTTGGAAATACTTGCTTACCCATGCCCAATTCTCTGAATTACATGTTTAATATAAATCGAAAGCAGTCATTTTGAACTGTGTAATTCTTCCTAAAGTATTTATGCAGGTAAAGTTGTCATTTTAGTTGCAGAGTTTGAAGAGTGGTGGTGACGGTGATATGGTTATTGTAAATGAGTATACAATTTTTTTTTACATCCTCCGTGTGCGAAATTTGATGAGGCTTAGCAAGTACAACACGTCTATACAAAAAAAAAAACTTTGTAGCATTGTTTTATACATGTTTTTTATTTACTGTTCTATGTTTTAAGAAAAATAACTGAAATTGAAGGATTTATTTGTAGATAGTAATAATATATATATATACATATGTAATATATGATAACTGAAATGGGATTATATTTTACAAAATACTGATGTGCTAAGACTAAGATATTTGTACTTTGTAAAGGCTGGTTGTATGCTATTAGATATGGTAACGTGAACTGCATGTGTGCCATGTGATATACAACTTGTGTGGCAGTGTTATTAGTCAGAGATGGTTCAAAGGTGAATAAAACAAAAACTAATAAATGTAAATAGATGTCTACTGTTATGAGATTTAAACTATTTAGAATAAACATTTGTGATTTCCTTTTACAACTTGCAGTCATTCTAGAATGTAAAAAGGGTAATTTACATTTCTTTGACAATTTTTCCTTTTACTCCTTGATATTCTGTGTTTGGCACAAATTACTTGCATTTTAAATATTGCTAAGCCATAATATTAATTTCTCTCCACGATTATTGTTTTCCAAGATATAACTAAGACCTTCACGTGTTTTGGTTTGCCAGAAACAGCATAATGGCTTATGTCATGATTTATTGTTTTATTGCCCAGAAGGATTATGGCAAAATAAAATCAAAACTGAAAACATTTCTAATAAAAGATTAAAGATTTAAATTGTGAATATAAGTAATTTTGTAACTTCATGATCAATACTGAAAAGGAAAAAAACTGTTACTCAAGTTATTTCATGTTTTTAAACAATTCTTTTCATGATATTTAAATGTTGTGTTTAAATGACACTGAAATCAAGGATATTGGAGGCATAAAGAAATGTACAGATAAAATATACAATGTGACCAAAAAAAAAAATGTTTGATACTCATTTAGGAGGTTGCACAAATTATGCAAATGAAATATGAAAGCTGTAAAATGAAAATAAGTAGTTTTTTTCGATCTTGAAATTCACCATTCATGCTAACTGACTCGGTAAATTCTCAGATGGTCCTTTGGTAGGATGTATTTTCCCTGAATTTAGTGTCTGCCATTCACTTTAAGAAACTATCAGTTTTATCACATGAAATTTAAGAACAATCATTTTTAAACAATAATTTGTTCCTTTAGTTTGAGTTGAATAGTTTTTTGTGAAAATTTGCAAAGAGAAAGTTAAAGAGCAGTGTTAGTCATATTTTCAGCTTGATACAGGTTTCATACAACATTACTTATCATTCATTTTGATGTATATAATAGTTTAGCATTAAAAAAATAATCCTAAGTTATTGTACCTGAAGATTTCTATCATATCAAATGAAGTGTAGTTAGAAAATGCCTTCAAACAAAACCAAAACAAGTTGAAAATAGGAAGGTTAGTCTGACATGTGAATAACTGATTAACAAATTTTATTAATTGCCCAGCTATAGGGATACCCTAAGTTACTTTTCCGATGTATGTAGAATATTGTGTATTTCTGTACATTTTGTCTTGGTATACAAAGAAGACACCCCTGATGATATACATTTCTTAGTATTTACCTGTTGTGGAAAAGGTCGCACTGACTACATGATTTAGGTTGTGGCAGTAAGTGTTGCTGATTGATTGCTCTCCTTATAAATACTTCAATGTCAGGGGTAATTGTACCAGAACTCTAGAATCTCTGACTTGGGTGTTTGGCCCATGCAGCACATAAGGTGCTATTCATGTTGAAAATCACAATTTCTAACTATGGTTGAACCTTGTTATAACAAAAACCAAGAGACCCAGCAAAATAATTCATAATAACAGAAGTTAGTTATAACTGATTGGCCACTAGGAGTGCTTTCGTGAAAGATAAATATGGCTTCCATAATTACAATGCAAAGTTGTTGTTTTTTTCACACATCACATATGCTAAAATTAAGCTTTCCATCTTTTCTATTTCCAATTAAAGAGGATAACTTACATCATCAATATGTCGAAACAGTATTATGTCACTGTACTTGAAAAGGCAAAATCTTACTTAAAAAAAAGTCCATAATCTTGGTTTGATGGCGACCTGAAAATGAGTAGAAAACATAATGTCTTCAATCTGCAACAGTAGAATTAAAAATAGTTGTTTGAACAATTTCATGAGACTTGAGGTAACTGTATAGCTTTACTAGGCAATCCATGACTTATGACGTTGAAGGCACTTCTTTTGCAATGATGAGGAATAATGGAGCAATGTTTTCAGTATCATCTTCATCTTGTTTGTCATATTGTTGTTCCTGTATGGAAGCAACAGTGTCATCATCAGATGGTAACTTGCAAACTTCAGTTTCATTGTCTGAACCCACAAAGTCCGAAAATGACATCTCGGGTAACTTGAGGCATCGAGACAGGCTATTCCAGAGACAGCTGACTTCATCGAGGATCTCCACCAAAGTTTCACAAGAATTATTATTATTGGCACTGGCATCGATCTCTCGTTCCACGCCGAGACTACCAGTAACTTGCGCATTGGCAAATGATGCTATAGGGAAGCAGTTAGCAATAGTCGACTTTGTAACTCTCTGTGACGAGAGATGTAGCACATTAGTTGCATCTTTGATTATTGAGAGAGTTTCTCCAGAATTGAGAAACACCAGCATTTTCTGTACGACCCATTTCAGGTAAAAGCTCTTGAAATTTCTGATCATGCCCTGGTCCATCGGCTGCTGTTTTGATGTTGTATTGGGCAGGAGAAACACAACTTTTATTGACTTCAGGTTTTATATGGCTGGGTAAGATAGGCAATTGTTGATGAGCATGAGGACTTTTTTTTCTAATGTTTGAACTTCTTATTTCCTTTATGTATCCAATCTCTGAATAAATCTGTCACACTTTAATGCTTGCCTGATAATTCTTGAAACACTGCAGCTTCTTTGATTTCTCTATGATAAGTAGTGTCATCATAGTGATTCTTTCTTTGTTTTTCTTTCCTCTTGAACAGACTTCATTCTTGAATGTTAGTCCTATCAGGCACAGAATGAAAAAATAACCCAGTTTCATCAGCGTTAAATATATATCTTGGGTTATAACCTTCAATTATCACTGGTATAATGGCATTGACATCCAGTCATCAAACATCATTGCTGACAGCCGTAACCTCACCACACAGTGATTTAAAGATGATGCCATGTTGAGACTTGAATCTTTCCAGTCAACCATTGCTGGCTTTGAAGTCGGAATGCTTCAATTTTTGTTCCAGTTCTCTGGTTTTTGCTTGGATAATTGGCCTGCTGATTGAAATATTCATTGAACTTTTAACAATGCTTGCTCAATATCGTCCACTGCTGAGAAGTGGAAACATTTGCAGTTGGATTCGACTTTGTTGTGTTCATACATTTTCATCAAAATTGTAGACAATGTACTGGGCTACATGTTGAATTTTCTACAGGCATCACCAAGAAGAATTTCAGACTTGATAGCTTTTATCATTTGGACTTTGCAGTCCAACGATAGAACACACCACTTAATAGGAACACGAAATGTTGACATCTTGAAGATGATGCATGAAGTGCACGTTTCGTTGAAGAAACTGCTTCAATTTATCTAAAATTGTAGAGTAGATTTAGAAGAAGTCTAATCTGTTTAGGTTATTATTATTTACAGTGCCTCTAGTTGGATAGAGATTTCTGTTCTACATTTATACATGTGCAAAATTTGTTACTGATAACTGTAAAATTTTGATACTAACTGAAGAATTATGAGGATCATTTTCCCTAATATTTTGTATTAGAACAAAATAAAGTATTTGCTTGCAAGGCAAAAAAAATTAATGTTTAAAGATAAGTTTGATTGTAATGTGAAATTTAAGTTAACATATCTAATAGTTTCATTCCTGCTTTTTATGTTAAGGAAAATGAATTCAAGGCATTGGTGATTATTTACTTAATAGGATGAAGATACTCAAGTTTTATTGGCAGCAGATTTTGAAATTGGGCATTTTATAAAAGAAAGAATTATTCCTAAAGCTGTTCTATATTTTACTGGGGAAGCATTACAGGATGAAGAGGTATGTTGCATAGAAATCTTCTGTTATTTTTCCAAGCAGAATATCTTCTCTTTTTCCATGCTTGAGGGTTTGAAAAAACTTTCTTAAATCTAAGTTTTCAAATACTTGGAAACATTTTGTAAGCAGGTGGTGTAGGACAAGCAACAAAAGCTTCTAATAAGCATTTTAGGAATGAAATTATTCTACCACCAACATACATTGATTTTGCTTTCCTCTCACCAGATTGGATGGCATGTTGCATATTTCTAAAATGTTTTTTTAAATGAGTCTAGTGTTCCCTCAGACATATACATGGTTTTAATTGTGCACTACTGGTGAGCAGTCAGTACTTTTTACACAAAACACTTTCTTGGGAATAACATTTATTGAAAATTTTAGTGCTCTTGTGGAATACATTACTGGTACTATTGTCAAAGCTAAATAGAACTAATTACTTTCTCTGTACTTTACATGTTTAATAACACACAAAGAAGTTATGATGTACAGTGTGCAAGATAACTAAGTTAACCAGTTTACTACTGATGATCACCTTTTTTTATGTTACTGATTTCAAACTTCTTAGCTTTGGATTTATATCATTAGAAGTGTTTTGATTTAGAAACCTAAAATTTCAATCATATATTTTTATTTTAAGGGATGGTACTCCGGAGTATAAAATACATTGCTTCTGAAAAATTCCTTTTCTTTTGGAATACTAATAGTTCATTATTTTCTTTTTTCTAATTATTTTTATAGTTTGATGAAGAGGAGGAAGGTGAAGAAGAGGAAGATGAGGAGAAAGATAGTGATGAAGACAATGATCCTGAATATAATAATGAAGTATAAGATTCCGAGTTTTTTAGAAAGTAAACTATTTTAAAACTGGGTCTTTATTTACAAGGAAGTTCAAGTAATGTTGTGAATTAAGTATGTTTTTGTTTATCCTTGAATTATTTATGTTATAGTAAAACTATTATATGATGATTTGCCAATGCTAAAAAGTTTTAGCTAATTAATCTTTGTGAAGTCTTGCTAAGTGAATTTTATCCAATATTATATTCCTTGTTCTTACTGTTTTCTAGATTCTGAGAGGTAATGAAGTGGGTGTTTAATGTGGCTTGATATTCAGATCAGTGGTTAAAGCTATTTGTAAGTTCTCATACTGAACTCTATGGATTAGAGAAGCTTTAATTTTCAAAAATTATTGATAGTTAGCAAATCATAATGTCTTATACAGTGGAATTAATATGTAACCATGGATCTGCAGTGAAATGATTACACATTAATGTGTTCAGCTTAATTTTGGTCATTTTAATTTATAACATTATAAAACAAATTATTATTGTTTATATCCTGTAAAAGTAATATACAAGAGTGAATGCTTGTCTAGATTCTTGCTGAAATTTAGAAACAATTGAGTTTCAGATTTTTCATTCATCTAAGTTATTCCAGACAGCAAATTCATGCTAAGCTTTTATAATGAATAACATAACTAAAAGATAAAAGTTATTTAATTTTTAGATATTGTATACTCTATTTTTATACTAACTATACACACAATAACCAGTTTCTTAAGGTTATGTGGAATCTTTTTTTAACCAGTTTAAATGATTCTAGTTAATTGATATAACCTATAACTTTTATATTTTATTTTTTCATAAGGACTCTTAAGTTGTGTTTTAAATTATTTTTTGTACATTTTCTTAGCATCAGTATAGTCTATTTCCTCATGTTATTATTGTTTAAATATTTTATTGTTTTTACTTTAAAATGCTTTTCCAAAATAAAAGTGCATAGTAATGCATTCTGTTAATTAGCTTCTAACTAGTGATAAGAAAAGTATAAAATATTTGAGGACACATTTTATGGCTAACTTGAAAGCATGATAAGAAGCAAAAGGTGGAGATGGTCTGATAATTTTTTTCAATGTTATTTGATAGTGTAGCTGTTAATAAAAAAAAACCCATTAGTTTATATATATTTCTCTGTGTATGTTTCCTGTTTCAGGCTGTTAAAGCAGCCAAGAAACATAAACAACAACCGCATGCCTGTCAACAGCTATAAAATGTCAGAAAAACAAGGCTATTCTCTTGTCTAGATCCAGGAAGAGGCTGTTTTTCAGACTTTAGCAGTTTAATGAATTAGCCTTAGAATGTGTTGTTTTTTTTAATATTCTAAACATTGAAAATACTTTTGTAAGAAAATCATATGTTTCTGATTCTTATCTGAGTTCTAGGTTGCTTTTCTAACTCTTGTATATTGTATGCTAGAATTTAATTTATTCAGTCTTAAGCTATAATAAACTTGTTTGCATTTTTATTCAGATTGATATATGTTGCTCAAGTAATAATAGAATTGCTGTCATTTCAAGAATCTCCCCTTGAAATATTGGAACCATTCACTTGCTCCAAACTTGAGACATGTTGCAGATTTGTGTATATTTTTATAAAGCTTTTCTCGTGTACTTCAAAAAAGCAAAAATAAATTCTGAACTGTGTAACATCTCTATAGTTACTTAATATGTTTCAGCTTTTTACTAAGTTATTTAGTGGTTTTAAAGCCAAAATATTGTACTCGAACATTTTCATTTGAAGGTTCAGACTTGTCGCTTATGATACTAAATAATTCTATTTATATAAATGTATATATATATATATATATATTTTTTTTTTATGACATTTTTTTTATAAATTTATCTGTGATTCATACTTTTTATAAGAATTGAATTCTTTAAGTTTTAAAAAATACCAAGGCATATACTTTAAACAACTAGTTAAAGCCCAGTGGTAAACATGCCAGTCTGTGGATTTTTAAGTTCCCTCTTACCAGCCCACCAGAAAATTTAACACCAACATTTGGAGCCATCGCTGTGTTTCAAGAATGATGTTCAAATACCACTATATGGTATGACAAAGGTAACCCAAGAATTATTGGTGGGTGGTGTTGACTAGCTGCCTTTCCTCTGGTCACATTTGAAAACTATGGATGGCTAGTGCATATAGATCTCAGAAATTTAAATAAGTTTGTTATTCCAAGTGTGAAGGAGCAAAACAATTAATAAATATTCTTAGCATCAGAAACATAGTAACTCAAATATATTTATATGAAAATGTAGATAGAATTCTTTGTTATGAGGTATTTAGTTGATGTAGAGAAACTCAGATTAAAAAACAGGGTTGTTGGAGCTTGATTAATGTTATAGAAATGGTGGGCTTATGTTTTTTTACAATTACACAGTCTGAAAAAAAGTAGTTTGTAGATTTTCCATATTATTTGAGGTTTATTTTATAAGTTTAGGATAGCAATTTTGAAACTTTACAACTAATTTGTTTTAAATTATATCAAAATGCTGAAAATATAATAGCCCAGAAATAAGTGTTTTTACTCTCGTAACAATGCTGTAAACATAAAAAAAAATGAACACACACAAAACATTTTCATGTAAATAATATTTCAATTGTACCAAAATTACTTTTATTTTCAAGTTTTCACTTACTCCATTTCTAGTTAAATCTGTTACAAATTAGAATGTGAGATTAACTTCCTCCTGCTAGAGATAGTTAAATGGTATGAATTTTTGATAATGTTTTAAGGATGGGCCTGCTGTGAAATTAAACCAGATCACTATAAAAGTAGGCACAAAGTTAAATACATATGGTACTTCACAGATAAAATGTGTAATGAAAGTGCCTTAACTTTCATTGATGGTAGATCTAATGGGCTTCCTGACTTGGGCTAGGCATGACCTAGTGATTAGCATACTAGACTCTGAATAAAAGGATTGCTTTCTGTTGTTGTGAAATTGTGCTTCACAATTTGGGGTCTATAGTACATTATAAAAGTGATGGTCAAATCTCTATTTGATTACAATAGTCCACTAGCTGCCTTTAGTCTTATCAGTTCATAATTAGGGATGGGTACGACAGACAGCCCTTATCTAAGTTTGCCCAAATATCCATAAAAAATTATTAACTTAAAGTAAGATATTAAACTGTTGCATTGAGTCTTTACATACTGTACTTTACAGAAAGCTATAGGTGTGGGTCACCAAAAGGGAAATCAACATATTAGAAATTATGAAAAGTGTTACATACTGTTTTTTACATGTACTACACACAAGTGAATGCTATGAATATAATGAGGATTACCTTGTCAGTTTTAATAGATATAAAAATATAGAACAAACTTTATTTTTCATGCTACTGTAATTTATTAGCAGTTCCTTGTATTCTTATTAACCTCTATATTATGTATAGAGAGAAGGGGGGGGGTGACATATACACTGACCTATCAACTGTATCTGGATTTGTTAATTATCTGGAGGTTATAAAGATTTTGCATGTGAAATTTGAAAATTTTCTGACACATAAAAGTATTTTTAATCTTAAAATCAAAATTATTTTTGCATGTTGGCTAGTCAACATGCGAAAAAAAAAAAGGCAATAGAAAAACATTACTTAAGAAATCTTAAAACTTAATAGAAAAATATGAAATTTTCTGTATGAAAGCCTTGTAATATTTACTGATAATACAGTGTATGGGAAATTTTGTGAATATAAGCTTGCTAATTTAAAAGTTATAGCATGAAAACCATAACAAGCACAAAACGGTTGGTCTGTGCGTGAATAGTTAGTTAGTCATATCAGATATATATAATTTTACTAATATATATATATATATGTGCATTTTCTTCAACTTACATTATGAGATTTCTAGCACATGATTACAGATGTTATTTTTTTTTCATTCAAATATACATTTTTAAGTGAAATGTGTGCTGAATCCTCACCTATGTATAACTTTGATTCTTACTTTCAGCTAGAGCATCTCTCAAAAGACAGTAATCTAGTTATAGGTCATTATGAAGTTGTAACAGGATCTTAATTCTTAATCTCTGACTTTTTTCATCTAATAATCATAGAAAACAGTGTAAGAATATTGTACTTACAAAAATAACGTGTAATTGTTATACGTTTGTTTAGTGAATTGTAAGGAGCCTTCAATTCTATAAAAATTAAGTTTGTATTCTTTGGTTGATTGTTTAGGCAGAGTATTCATGGTGAGTCAACTGGAATGGATGGCAACTGCCTGTTGTAAAAAAAAACACAAGTGTAGAGGATGACATCTTGAAATCTTCCGTCTTTAGAATGTACAGAAGGAAGACTTTCGAAATGTCATTCTGTACACGTTTTTTTACAACAGGCATTGCCATACATTCCAGTTTACTCATCATGAAGTTTGTAATTGTTCATTTTTACTTTTAATATTTACGTATCACAATTTTTATAAACTTTTCAGATATATTTTCTCTAACAAAAGCCAAGTTAAAGGCATCTGCTCAGGTAAGAAGGTTAATTCTTCTTTTAGTTTTATATTATATTTTTCTGTTGCTTGTTTTCAATAACTAAGTTATGACTACTAGTATTTCAAAGTATAATATATGTTTATGTATATATTTATATATATATTTCCTCACACACGTAACAGGTGATTTTAATATTAGTAATTAGTGATTCTTTTTTTAATTTCACTAATCACTGAGAAAAAATTATTTCTCTGGTAGCTTAAGATAGCCACAAATCACTATGGGTAAGTAAAGTGCAACAGCTAGGCAACCTATTTTTCATACAGTTAAAAGGAGGAGGGTAATTTTGTTTTTTAAATAACACCATTATACTCTTAGCTTCATCATTATGACTAATTTAAAACTTTCTCTTTATAGTAGATATCACTGTGTTACTAATAATCACTTCTGCTGTTAACTTAATAACATATAATGAAGAACACGTTAATTGTCAAAGATACATTACAATTTATTTATTACAACATTGACAGAAGGATAGAATATGAAGTAACAGTTACAGTAAAATCATTAAAAATAATCAAGCTCATTAAAGATGCTCAATTTTATTTATCCAATGATATATTTAGCATGCCAGACAACTCGTAATGTTTCCAATAGAACAATAGGTAGCTGTATAGAATGTTTCAGAAACAAAAACATGACACAAACTATTATGTAGATGTTGTATATCTGTGAAATACAGCTTGTGCACTCATGCTTGAGTAAGTTTGTCAAAATTGAAATTCTAATTGTAATTATATTAATGTAAACAAAGAAAAAAGGAACTTGGCTTGCCCTTGGCAACACTCACTATGCATACCTCCTCCTTTGCCACTCACTATACACTGTGTAACTTCAATAATAACTTTTAATCAACTCCCTTTCTTTCCCTGTTACTTATTCTCTTTGTCCCTCAGTAGGACAGCAGTAAGTCTTTGGATTTACAATGCTAAATTCAGGGGTTTGATTCCCCTCAGTGGACACAGCAGATAGCCCGATATGGCTTTGTTATAAGAAAATACATACTTATTCTCTCTTTATGAATTGAAGAAAATGTGACAATAAATTAGCTGTGATGAAACTAAAAATTAGAGGGGGTGATCCTCTGTTGTGAAAAATTGAGGGGGACACTCGCCAATCTCCAGTTCATTCTATGTCCATGGAGCTTTAGTAAGAAACCCCTATTTTGGCATATCCATGACTAGGATTGTGGATTCCTGTTAGACACCGACACCAGTGTTTTGTGGAAACAGTAGTGTTATTGCAGTTGAAGTATTGAAAAGAACATGTAATCAAATATGCTCATAGCTCCTGAATGCAGATACTGTACAACAAAGAAAGAACTTTCAGCACTGATTGTATAGTAGGAAGTTCAGTGTTCCAATGGACCATAGATTACTAATATGATTAATAAATTTTAAAATCTCCAAGGGGTGATAGTTTGCTGGATTGTAGGAGTATGATTTAATGATAAATTATTGCTTAGGCCCACAATGCATTTCTATGTAAACAAATTACCATACCAGTAGATAAGACTTTGTCCATTCATTGAATGATTACATTCTGGGCATCATATGGGAGTTAAGTCATTTTCTGGTATACAGTCATACTGTAGAGGAGTCCATTAGTGGATTGATGCCACAATTAATGCTTTTGGATCTCCTGAAAGAGGAACTGAAGGACATAAATCTAGCATGGGTGTTCCTTGCCATACACCAAGGTGAAGTGCATCTGACTCAGATTGAAGAATCTATCAAAGATGCACATAACCTATTGCACTTGTACAATCAGCTATAAAAGCAGGAAGGTGTGCTATATTGAACTTTAAGACACTAGATTCTCCAGAGTTTGTGTAACACAAAAACTGGAAGGCACAAAGGTGTTTCATACATTTGTGTTTATGTTCAGTGATGGTTCTTTTTTTAACGTTCAAGTCAAGACGTTCAGTGCTGTACATATTCAATTTGTGTTTCAACAAAGAAATAGATCTAGAAAGATTTATCAAGTGAAATTCTGTTAGGTGTAAGTTATTTTGTGAAGTTGGGGTTAGTTGTGAATGTTGGTTGCACTAAACATGGACTTCACTTTCCATCATATGTTTTACTGAATAATCCTAAAGAACCAAGTCAACATTAATCATCAGTAGAACATTATTTAAATATGGGGTATTGCTTTCACAAATTTAAGTGTTCAAACAAGTACATCAATAAAACTGTAATATATTGTAAGTACCAAATGTAGACAAGCAAGATATTTATTAGTATTAAGAGTGAAATTATTCTCAGGGTTTAATGTAATTATCTGTTGAAAACACAGTATTCAAAATTGGTTCTTAAAAATGTAGGACAAATATAGAAATATTTTTTGTTCAATTTGTTTGATAAAGTACATTTGAAGCTGTAACATTTTATCAATGAACAAACAATTATATTTTGTATAAAAATACACAAGATTTACTAGCCACTTGTACAGTTGTGAGAAAATTGTTAATTGATGCATAGTGAGAAAGTGAAGATACTGAAGGTATGTTATGCATGTGTGGTGGAAAGTAATAAATTTTGATTGGTCTTAGCTTAAGATTTTTGTGCAAGCTGATACACTGTTAGTTAATTTATAATACTCTGTACTCTGAGAGTATTGTTTACTATAATACAATTATTATTATTTTTTTGTGTGTGTAAATCAAACTGATTTGAAAACAAATGTATTGTGGATGAAAGATAACACTGGCCTGCAAATTTAATCTTCATACACAGATTTTTAAAATAACATTAATTTTTTTTTTCTATTACGTAAGAATTTTTTACAAATCGGGAAGAAAAAAACTTACAAAGATCAAAATATTATTTTGTTTACCACAATGAACATTTTTTATTGTTTGTTAACAAAAATACACACAAACTGAAGAAAATGGGAGAACATTTATGTCAAACAAATATACATCCTCATTCATCCTGATTTATTAAATGAAATATACATCTTTTAGTCTTGAAACTATGTATTGTGGTCTTTCATGTATTGCGTTATGACGTTTTGTGAAAAATCTGTACAATGATGAAGAAAAATGGATATAATTTTTGAATTCAGCATTCAGGAATTACTGTAGAACATGTAACAATTTCAAGACAGTAAAACCATTGCAGGCCAGTGTAATTAAAGTTTGGTTGTTCCACAAAAACAAACTAAAATTATGAAGGATTGGTTCAGGAGATTCAAAAGTAGCAAGGATAATCATCAAAACAGTTGTGAAAAATGATAAAGGGTTACAGTATGAATTAATCAAATTGACTGGAATAAAAAATACAAAAAATCAAAACATACTCCTGATAAGACTTAAGAGTAGATAGATAACTGTTTGTATTTGGAAAAATGTTCAAAAAGATTGTTAATTTGCATGTATCCTCTTAAAGATTTTGATTTTTCTGGGTGAAAAACACTTGAAATTCACTAAATTGCTCTTGCTTACATTAACTTAGTTTTCTTGTAGGACCAACATTTAAGATACAGTTAGGAAAAACAGTTCTTGTCTCAGATGTTGTTGTTGAATGCATGCACTGAAAGTTCCTTTTTTGTGCTTCGTTTTCTCCCAGTGAATTTCGTACAACTGGGTCATGAGTCACACATGTACAATATGGAAAGAGGAAGATAAGAAAACAATTTTGAACATACCAGAATAGATAAAAATGTATAAAGATCACCTTAAATTTAATCCTAGTAGGCTGAATATGGCAAAATGGCTAGTATGCCAGAATGTGAGTACACAGGTCCATGGTTTGCATCCTGTCACCACAAAATTTTGCTCCTTACTTTGGAGCTATGGATGCATTACAAGTGTGATGGTTAAAGCTCACTGTTCGATTAGAGTAGCCAAAGAGTTTGCAGTAGATGCCATCAACCAGTTGAAGGCGTCCGAGAAAACCTTTAAAACCTGTTTTTCAGAAGCTTGACATTACAATTTAATAATATAAATAGCATTTTGTTGGCTACTGTGTTTGTTATATCCTATCTGGCTTGATGAACCTCTTGTATTGAGTGAAAGGCCTCATTAACACTGGATATGGCTGATAGTGTTTGACATTATTGTACATTTTTCATTACTTTTACTCTTAATTTCTTAAAATTAAAACCTGTATAATAGTTCGAAGAACCTGTAATAGCCCATAACAACCTGTTCTATAATACTTGTGTCTAGAAAAATGTATATTCACAGAAATAAATTTTCCAAAACATACTCACCTCTGCTGACACTCATAGCTATTACTCAACCTACAGGGTTTCTTCCTTGCCCATTTAAGCATTGGTCTGATTTTTTCTTGCATGCTCCAGTCTTTTATACCCCACTCAGTTGGCCTTAGCAATATTTGTTTTGTGATACTCTCCACCTATGTCAGTGCACCCTCTATCCTGGTACTGTATATAAGCACCTCATTCAGATAATGTTACCACTTTTTCTTGACAAAGCGTTTAGACATGGGTTTCTCTAAAGAAGTGCTGTGATAGTTAGCATCCTTGGGTGCGATTTTCACGTCAGCTAGTTGATTTCCATTCAATAATATTGTAATAAATCTAAAAGAATAAAGAAAAAATCCTTTTGTTTCAACACACTGTTTTCAGGCATGAATTCCTTGGTTACTGTTTTCAGCATAGAGGCTAATCAGATCTTCCCTATTCCACCTCTTTTATCTAGCATCTCTCAATAGTCAGAGGGTAACTCTCAGTTGAAGCTGTCCATGATCTCATTCATTGTGAGATGGAAACATATATTTGGTCTGGGGTGCCTCTCAGGGGGTTCTGAGGCTGCTTTTACCAATGATACAGGACATTCTGAAGAGCATTTAGACTAGCTTTTCCTGGTGCCTTTATTTACTAGGTTGGCTTCTCATTAGGCAAATTTAGATCATCCACCTCCTGCTTCTTTTCATTAATTAGTCAGTTGGGTTTGTGAGATTCTGAGGCTTTCCCCAGTTGCTTTTGAGTGTACTCCTTCCTTGATGATGG